CAATTTGGTTTAACATTTTAGCAAGAGCAGTGTCTAGAAAGTATTTTAAGGTTTGTTCAATTTGGTGAAAATTACACAAAAAAACTGTCATAAATCAATCATGCCTTTGCTTTGAGAAAAACCCCGAAAGAAGTATATTTTGAATGATAATACACTCAAAACTGAAGAATCTGATTTGAAATCAACACACATTACATTCAAGCAGTCAAGTTGATCCTGGGACTCAAGTTTGAATGTTGTGTATCATTAGATACTCAAGTCTATTAGGAGCAGAAACAGAGAAATATCCAGCACGTGCCTTATGTACTATAAAATAAGCAAACTACATGCTAAGAGGAGAGGAACACCTTGATTTCACATTAAATATCGCCATATTATCCTTGCACTTTTAAAGAAAGTCCCCCATCTGCCTTTTAAATCTTGAAATGCTCATTCAAGCACTTTTTGTTTTTGATTGATCTCTAAAAAAGCAATACACAGTTAGAATTGAATTACATGGTCATTATATTTAATAAGAGGTCAGAAATATTTATTTTAAAGAATAAATTAGTATTTACATTAAAACTCAGTGTTATAATGTTAAAACAGACACAACACACCATAGGAAAAATAAAAAAAAAAACTTGTTAACCATTTGTTATTGCTATCAACATCTAAAATCAAATTTTTAATACAGGTATCTGCAGGAGTTTCTCTCGAACATCAATATTTCAGAAAAAAAGTAATACATATTTATTACAAGTTTGTAATATCGCATAAAACTTTGCATAAAACTAAAAATGTCGAAGATTGAAAGTGACACCACAAATATTTGGTTGAATCATATGTCCACTCTTATAAGTAACCCCTCCCCCCCCCCTTTTTAATGAAAAAATGTGTATAAATTTATATTTAGTAAGTCAAAACATTTCAAGTTTAAACTGAAACTTATTTATTTTAATAGTGCTGACTGCTTTTTTCTTTTTTCAGTATTTAGCAGGGATCTGGACTATGCATTGGCCATGAAAATATGTCTGAATGATCATGATAAATGTATTAAAACATGGATTCGGAATAATTAAGATCAGCAACTAAACATAAGATTTCATACTGCTTTCTAAAACGACATACGTCCGTGAAATATTTACAACTGCACATCATCCCACCATCCGTTACACGTAGCAAATAGCCAACTAATTTATACAGAGTACACATATGCACACGTTTGCCTTCGACAGTGTTGCAAGATTTTATCTTGCAAGTTTCCCATAAACAGCGTAACATTGTATTGTATCATTTGATACTGTCTTGTTTTGACAGGAATATGATATCATTCAAGCATGCGATGGCCAACTCGTGTCTTACATGTTTCAATTCAGTGTACATTCCAATGCAGAAAATATTAAACTCGAAAGATAGAAGATTCTCGATGCAAGCTCGAGATATAATTAATGAATTTCTGTATAACAACAGTTCTGTGCTCCGCCACAAGGATAACGTCAGCAATACAATAAAGGCATATTTTCTAACACTTAATTATGCCACATGTTCACACTAACCTGTTTAATAATCGTCTCAAAATACAACACGCCAAACATGCATATGGGCGGCGCCATTTTTGTTACACTTGCCGGGGGCAAGACTAAAAAATTAAAAAAGTACATCCGGTACTGAATCCGGACGGAACATATGGTACGGAAAGCGTTTGCACTCTACATGGTGTAATGTACATCATTTTATATTTCCTTGTTAATATTTGTTCCCTAAGGTTTTTTTTAAAGCATAATACGATATTGATATTGTCTTTGTCACATGATAGCCACGTGATCCAAATGTAAAATGTATGTTACCACTACATGCATATCAATGATTTTAATTATTATTAGTTGCTATAATCGTAATGTATTCTACTGATAGGCTCAGTATGTATTACCAAAGTGTATGTAATTTAGATAAAAGATTTAAATTAATTCATTGGATAAAAAGAACTGTGTAGACCACTCAGTTCAAATCAATTTCCGGAGGGAAAAGAAAATATTTACACTACACTGCAACTATAGTAAAGGAACTTACTTCAATGGCAAAATACGTGAAGCTATTGCAAAATTTACCTCAGACAAAATGTGAATTTATTTTGTCATTTCAGTGACAGTATCTACAGATCAGTGCATAATCCTTATGTGTGGTTATACATACGTAAATTCCACGGAAGTTGTATCAGTGATAATGTATTACTAAGTAAGCACGGTATTTCTTTGACGTTTTAGGAATATAACCAATTGTCCGAGGTTATACGGAATTAAAAAAACCAAAACAAACAAAAAAAAACAAAAAAAACAAAAAAAACAAAACAAAACAAAAACAAAACAAAACACAGAGTGATTGAATTCTTAATAAAATGGTTCAGTAACTGCCGTTTTCGTAGAAGGATATGTGCTAACCCTCATTGGAATGACATGCTATTAGCAAATAACAGTGAGTACGATTATTTGAAAGTAACATTCCATAATATATGTTTTCCGATTTCATCTTTTTTTTAACGAAAATAAATTAATTTGTAGTCAAAATATGGTGAAAGATAATATAGTTTTAGTCAGATTTGTAAAGGCGATGCTTCTATGTTTAACAAGTTTTCATTATCAAAATGTTCTCCCCTACCGTTTTCTTTTCTCTTTTTCGTTCTGTTAAACAAATCATAAAAATACTTTAGAGCCTTCAGCAAAGTTGATCGGTCTTGCTAGAAAAAAAAGCGGATACAGTTGTAAACACTGCTGAGACTATTTTGTTATACATTTAAAATAAGTAAATCAATATATATTAAACGAATTTGTCATGAAAAAATCCAATTATAGTCACCAATATCACATAAGCTGCCTTTTTCTGAAAGTAAACTGACCACTTAGAGTTTTCATATCATTTTGCCTTATAAATGTTTGCTGGGAAATTTCTAAACATTCAAATACTTTATCATAATTGATTTCAAACAGTTATCGAAACAACATCCATATCTTGCAGTTTTAATGTAGTTAGTAGACGGGACAGGTTTTACGCCAAATCAGGACCTTTCAACGGCGGCTGCTTCCGAGATTATGCCAGTATTTCTTGTTGACGGAAAGAGACGAAAGTTCCCGAATGTTAAACAGGAAATCAGGCACACCGGAGAACAAAAGTGCCCTAATCTTGAATTTTTAAAATTTCACCGTTGTTATATGCTTTTCAAACCATTAACGTATACGTTTGTTAAATTAATTTGAATTATTTAAGATTTCAGCATGATTTCATTTCCACATGAAAGCTTAAAATATATTTTGTCGGTTAAATAATTTTTAATCCATTCAACGGGTCGACTGTAATGAAGTTCCAGCCAGACTTCCGTTTATAGTTGATCGTATGGGTGCCTTAAGTTTGTTGATTTTGAATTATCCCACACAATATCATTAAGCGTTCGCTATAGAATAGCTTTGATTGGCAATATTGTCCTAAAAATGCAAAATGTCGATTGTGTTTAGATATTCCCTGGTTCACACTTTTTGAAACTCTTGTGTCCACATGAAATATCGAAGATAAATAATCATTGTTCTGAAATCATACAGCCGAAGGAATCGAAATTTATATTCGGGTGTGTTCGTCTTACCCAACATTGGATTGTAATGATGCATTTCTTAGAAATTAGAGGAAAGAATGTTTCAAAAAAGAAATATGAAAATTTGTTCTGACTGCCCCAATCTTTGTCGAGCATTCTGGATTATCCATGATCTAGAATTCAAACCCAACTATGGGCTGAAAAGATTCCCGAAATATCACTAAGGTCCGTGCGCTATAAGAAAAGTACAAAATGATCATATTTGAAACGATATGAAGACCGCTTGTTACCTGAGCTCGATTTACACGCTTCGATTTGTACAACCCTGTGCATACATTTTGGAGACACCAATAGAGCGATTGGATATAATGTATTTAGATGTGATAAGACAAGATTGATATCATATAGTAAATAATGAATGACAACAAGTAATGAATACATGTACAACGTACTTATGAAAATTAAGGCTTGACGTAGAAGATTACGTTAAGATAGATATATAATAGCAGAGTAGGGCTCAGCCACTACTGTGCCACATTACCTGTCAACAGTAATCGGTGAAACGAAGGGAGGTAACTTGGGTAGATCTGAATTGTTAACTCCTACATGTAGCCTAAACGTGAAGCGGTGTCCTTACAAATTTATGAATCACGTGCTTTCTATTACCCAAACATTACTGAAACTAGGGATATTAATACGTTTCCGTAGATGTATATTTCGTTGTAGCATGGTCTTCGTTTTATAACAGGATAGCTAAAGAAAAAAAAAGAAGAAGAAGGGAAATCAGACACGAAGTACTTCAGTATGCTTTAAATATTCATAGTAGCTTTCGACATTAATAAAAGACATATATCAAAATACATGTATTTCGTATTTTACACATAACACTTATCAATAATTATTCATAAAAATAATGTTTGCTACTATGAATGAAAAATGGAATAATTTTTAGTGTACCATTTCTTGAAAGGAAACATATACCGATACAACCACCGGTGCATTCAGGCATTTTACCTGTGGACATTTTAGCCTATCTGTAAAACCGAAAGTATGACGGATAATATTGTTAAAACAGGGAAACCCGTTATATGAAGTGTGAACCCGGTTATCGCTTTCTGCCTGGGACGTCTCTCTACACTTATGAAGTCTGGTTAAAAGGATTGGGTATAATAACAACACAAAAGACATCAAAATTCAGATGGAATACAGCTGCTTAAAATACAAAAATACACCCAATAGATGACATCTAAATACATAATTGTAACAATTAGTTATATATCCTATTGGTCAATCCTCTAAAATGAAGGCGTACCACACTATTGTATGTCCCACCCACATCATCAAGTACAGCCACCTGACAACAATTACGACTGAGCTGCTAACTCAAGCAGGAAGTTAAAATCATTGGATTTGTGAGAAACACGGACAAAATACGAGAATGGGAAAGACACCGCCCTACTCTCCACAGCAACATGGGTATCCCTCACAGGTAGCCCCTCCTCAGCAGGGGTACCCGCCACAGGCTCCTCCACCCCGGCAAGGCTATCCACCACAGGGTGTGCCCCCTCCTTACAGCCAGCCGTCCCAGCAGTCTCAGAATTCAGGTCAGTTATCCATGTATGTCTGTTCTTCCTCTTTTTCCCCATGGATATTATCAAACTGTATTTTATCTTCCAGTCAAATGCTTGGAGATAATGTACATGTAGATATTAAGGCAACTGATCAAGCTATAAATCCTGTAAAGATAAAGACAAATATTTGATTGAATATATAATTATTTCTCATTTACCACAGTAAATCATTGAGGTCACTCGATATCAAAGTCCCCCTCCTCCTCCTCCTCCCACCAAATTCCTCTTTCGCTTTGTCTTGAAATTTGTTTTACCCAAAAAGTTGATGAAGTTTACTTATTCCCAATTATAAAATCAGATATATAAAAATAGATATGCAAAACCTAAAACTGTTTCCAGGTCATTCGATTTCCGGGTACAATCTTGTCAGCACCTGTAAAATGATCATGGATTTTTTCTACAGTTGCCTTGCATTACACGTTTATATTGTATGTGGCTTCACTCGCTAAAATATGATCGCCTATATTTTCCTTCAATTAGAAATTTTGATAATAAAAAAAGAGATATACTGGAAGCAAGCATTGGGTCTTTGTATCCAGATAGCAAAGGTTAACACCAGTTTAAATTATGACGTCCCAAATATGAATGAGTTCGGGAGTTTTCGGGAATTATTCATCAGTTTCACTGATACTCTTGTTACCCGGTTTCAATGATCAGTAAAATGTTTAGCATAGATAGAGTTTATTTGCCTTGTATTTTATGTGGCTTCAGCAGTTGTAATATAATTGACGAATTTGCCTACATTTGCCTTGTATTTTATATGGCTTCAACAGTTGTTTAATATAATTGACGAATTTGCCTACATTTGCCATGTATTTTATATGGCTTCAGTAGTTGTTTAATATAATTGACGAATTTGCCTACATTTGCCATGTATTTTATGTGTCTTCAGTAGTTGTTTAATATAATTGACGAATTTGCCTACATTTGCCTTGTATTTTATGTGGCTTCAGCAGTTGTAATATAATTGACGAATTTGCCTACATCTTCCTTGTATTTTATGTGGCTTCAGCAGTTGTAATATAATTGACAAATTTGCCTACATTTGCCTTGTATTTTATGTGTCTTCAGTAGTTGTTTAATATAATTGACGAATTTGCCTACATTTGCCTTGTTTTTTATGTGGCTTCAGCAGTTGTAATATGATGGATGAATTTGCCTACATCTTCCTTGTATTTGATGTGGCTTCAGCAGTTGTGATATAATTGACGAATTTGCCTACATTTGCCATGTATTTTATGTGGCTTCAGCAGTTGTAATATAATTGACAAATTTGCCTACATTTGCCTTGTATTTTATGTGTCTTCAGTAGTTGTTTAATATAATTGACGAATTTGCCTACATTTGCCTTGTATTTTATATGACTTCAGTAGTTGTTCAATATAATTTAATTGGCTTCAGAAGATATTTAATATAATTGATGATTTTGCCTACAAACCTCGTAACAGGATCGACAACAGTAGTGGTTAACGCGCCACAGGTGGTGCTCGGCGCCCCAGTCTTCCACGAAGTGTCTGTAAGGTGTACCTGTCCACATTGCCGGGCTTACATTATGACGTCAACGAATTACACAACTGGTAACATGGCGTGGCTCTTTTTCCTGATCCTGTTTTTTCTCGGGTAATGTTTTTTTTCTTATTGACTTATTCAGCCTTCCGATGCTTTCAATTTACTGTGTACAGAGTTATGCTATATCATTGTCATTCGTTTGAATTGAAGAACCACGATTGTAACATACGCTTACGCTCTCACCGACCCAATTGCTCAATTAGTCACTGATTCACTGAGTCAATTATTCACTCACTCAATCAGTTGATGACTCAATTAATTCCTGACTGACTGAATCGCTCACTGACTGACTGACTGACTGACTCACTCACTGACTGACGGACTTACTCACTGACTGACTCACTGACTTACTCACTGACTGACTCACTGACTGAATCACCGACTATCTCCCTCACAGTGAGTGAGCGAGTGAGTGAGTCCATCCACCAAATCACCCACACACCCACCCGCCCACTCATTCAATCAATGCCACCCATCAGTTAATTACTGCATTGACCAATCATGGACTCGATCAATTTATAAATCACTTACCCAATTAGATGTTCTCTAATTCATTGACACATGCCCATAATCGATCACTCTTTACTCACTTATTCATTGTAATTGTAATATTTATTCGTTTACTCAACAGCGGTTTCATTCAGGTATCACGTTGTGGTTACTGTTACGGAAGATAAGTCAATCTTAAAGGTTTCTCTATACAAAATCGCTAAATGCCTTAAACTATAAATGTAGCAACCATCGTAAACTTAAATTTATCTTCGAATGAATTAATGTAATAAAACATTTCTGTGATTTTGTTTTATCAGAATTTGGCCTTGTTGTTTGATCCCATTCTTTGCGAATGGCTTTAAGGATGTGGTACACACCTGCCCTAACTGTGGTTGTGTAGTTGGACGCTTCAACCGGATGTAGACTCGAATGCACTTTTCGGCTACAAGAACACGACATAATGAAAATGTTCATTTCCGGAAGTTTGGTTACAATGAATACGCGGAAGGATATGTTATGTTTTCAACAACTGGAGTAGTTACCAAAGTGTTGTGGGATTTTTCAGTATGGCTGTATCATTGTTTTTTTTCTCCATGTAAATATATTGATCTTTATCCACCTTCATTTTGTTACTTCACGTACGTGATGGAATTTGATACATTATATTTAATTGCGCAATAATTTCTCAAATGATGAGAAAAAACAGTAACAACGTTTCATGCATTATTTGATTGATCTTTGAGAATGTGAAGAAAAGTGTCAAAATCCTGTAGATAAAATGGTGATAGGATCAACCCACGGGACCATTGTACAGCCAATATCGGGAGTGACTTCTGTGATTCCCCATTACAAACCGCTATATAGATCTATAATTAAAAACTTATATGTGTTTTGTGTGACTAAATTTGCATGCCTCAGTCCAAAACCTAGGATAGTCTTTCGAGGAAAGCACACAAAAAAATTGTCGAGATATGAATACAATTGTTAACTTGACGGATACACCCGGCTGAGTTTGGTCTTCACATTTTTTTGTTTTGTTTTTTTGTTTTTTGTTTTTTTTTGAAAGAAATATACTACTCATGGGATATCTACAGTGAAATATTCGGGACTTTTCTGACTTCTTTATTTAATTTTGTAGTTCATGTGCATGTATATCTTCAACACTCGGAACTCCTTGGAATTTTTTAATTGATTCCATCCCCGTAGCTAATGCTTTTTTATGCTTCATTATTCATAATAAATAAAATTAATTGAAAAACAAGCGTCTTTGATCGTCTGATTAATAAACAGAGAGAAAATAATGCATTATAACTACATTATATTATGAGACCACAGTATTACATTCTTTTTAATTCTGAGGTTAAAAAATCATTTTAAAAAGACACTTATGTGTTAAACCAGTCTGATTAAAATGCAGATCTTCATTATCGCTCTGGTACTCTCTTCATTAGATTCTAATACGGAGAGTCACGAGGACTTTGCAGACATTTGATTTCACTTTCCGATATATTGGTAACGTTTTATTTTTAAATAACAAAATATTTATTGGCCATGTCTTTGCATATTCCCACCAGAATTTTGAATAAAGGACACGACAAACAATTCTACATCAGCTGCACATCTCGATCTTTTCCTACAACAAAACCAACATGGAAAGCTTTCCACCAAGCTTTACGATAAGTGTGATGATTTCAATATCTCTTTTGCGAAGTTTCCATTTCTGAATAGCAATATTCCTGCATCTCCAACCTATGGTGTTTATATGTCGCAGTCAATTCGATATTCAAATACCTGTCTCCATTATCACGATTTTCGTGCAAGAAGTCGTCAACTGAAGGACAAACTCGTAACACAGGTTTTCAAAAGATACAGGTTGGTGAAAATTATGTTTTATGGTCGGCATAGTGATCTCCATTTCTTTGTCTGATATGATGTTGGATCTGTTTGATGCTCTTTAGTTTGCCTTTAGTACCGTTGTTGTATACCTTGTTCTCATTTGAGAATATGACACTACTTACTTGGACTGGTCAAGGTCACGTCGATGAAGCAGAAGACACTTACTCTTCTGGAACACCTTGTACCTTTTCAGGAGTATCCGTGTAAATATCTATTTGATTCATATATTGCCCTAGTTTATTGAATTTTGGTTTGGATTGTGATACTGTTGACATTTTGGTATTTTCTTGTTGTTTTTGTATGCGACATGCGTATAATAATGACACTTATTGTTTTGTCCCATGTTGAAATTTAGATCAATAAGGGTAGTTGAGTCGTTTCAAAAAGACTATATTTTGCGTGTGTGATGCAAATATGCATCATTATTTTTGTTTCAATACTACAAGACTTTCCATAAATGTTGATCTCTTCCAGAGTTGTCGTTCTTTATATTCACAATATATTTTATGTTAAATAGGGTTCTGATACAATAACCTATAGACATTAACCAGTAGTCCGAGACAAGATTAAACTTTATACAGTCGCTTGCAACAAACCTGAACCTTACACAGTCGTATGAGTTAAAAATAAACCTTCCACCTTAAACCAGTCAAAATATGTCACAATCGCCTGTGACTAAACTAACCCCTACACGGTGGCCAGTGACAAAACGAAACCTTACACAGTCGGATCAGAAAGATATAAATTAAAAACCGAAATCAAAACCCTACACATTCACATAAAACAAGACTCTACCTTTTGTTAAATTATATCCAGCAGACCAGACATTGGAGAATATCTGACATACGATTACAAAACTGGGGTGATCTCGTGCACACAACATGCACTGTACATGCAATTCACACTGAAATAGCTCAATGCCATTTTGCTATAGAATTAAAATTCCATCTCTACAACTGTTTCTTAATGCTACCCACTGCAGTTGATAGGCGTAAACCCTCCATGAGTGTGTTTATGTACAGTACCAATTGATGAAGATCTATAAATAGCTACGTATACACTGTATTTCTTAGCTTCTCTAACTAAGTTTAATTCTTTTTCTCTGTATTTTGAGTATATGTGGAGGAAACTTTCTAATGTTGTAATATTCCTACACGTTTTCTAAGTGCACGCATCCTACAACGAATAGACGGTGTAAATTTTAGCGATGATATTAATTTTGTAGTTTTATCGAAGTAATGATTGACGTAAATTATGAATGCGCTGATTATAATTAGTGTGTTTTTTCTTGCTAAGTAGATATAACGGAGAAACCTCGAACATAATGGACATGTGTTACTTCCTATTGATAAGTGTTATAGAGAGGTTTTATATGTAACGTTTAATGTTTTGTTTTTGGAAATCTTACATTCAAGTGGGCAACTAGAACTGGAAATGCGTTTAGCAGATTTATGTGTTGTATGACCCCCACCTCCCTCCCCCACTTTCCCCTACTTTGCTCCCTTACCCAATTTTCATGTTCATAGAAAAAATACGTTTCGAAAAATTCTTCATAGAGTTTAAAAACCTGTTTTATAGTTTTTACTATAAATGAAAGTTTTGTTTTCGGGTTTAAGAATATAATTTGATATTTTTGTCCATTCTTATTTCTGTGTGATGATTTCAAGAGACAAACAACACAATGAGTTTGAATTTAAAATGTATTTGTATGTATGATTTGATATCATAAAAAGACTATATCCCTTTAATGCGTTTGACTTACAGGCCATTGGAGTTTGGCAACATTCCAAGTGATCGGTATTAAATTCTCGTCGACAATTTCAAACCAGACGCTTTATTAAAGTTAATAATACCGAATGATCATGAGTCATTTGAAAACGAACCAAAATGAATATATATTTCACAGTTCTACTTTCGATTTGTCTACCTCTGGTTTATGCCAAATTTGACCAATCAGCGCCAGGGTCTATCGGATTTTACTTCACCGCGGTACCGCTTCCAATTTGACATGGCACCCTGTGTGTGCCCACTCGTCAAGGATGTGCATGAACAATGCACGTGATTTTATGTGAATCACGAGTGTTACTAACAGATTATAGGAACACCGGACTAACTTTACCGCACGAAAGGTAAGTATATAATTTAACAGATATCAACTATTTTGAATTTATGCCTTCTGATTTTGAATCTGGGTATATTGCATGTAGTTTGTTTTCGTTCAGCGTTATACTATAGTTTATACAGTTTTAGATTACATGTATATATGTTTTAGTGCGTTAAAAGAAGTTTAATATTTTATTTAATATTTCGGATTATACAAGATGTTAAACTCGAGAAATTAACATGCACATTCATGTATTTGAATTCTAACCTTGATATGAAGAAATAAATTACAGATATTTCTTTTAATATGAAAATGTGTAAATTAATTGTCTTAAATATCTTATCGTGTGCGGGGTTCATTTTAGTTCCATTCGCCAATTACTTCACGATCCGGTATTACAGTGATCTAACACACGATACAATTTAATAAAGATATCAGTTATAACTGTGGCGATAGTCACTAATTACACGACGTGCCATTTAATCAGTCCGTTATTCATCGAAGCGATACTCAACCTTCTCATTGTTTAAGTCTTATCTCTATTGTTTTCCTGTGTATTGTAGTCAGGTTAGGTTTAAAAAATCAACCTTTATACTCTAACCTCTAACTAACCCTACAGGAAGTGATTTAATGGATACGTGTACTTAAAATCTACCTGAAATGAATGCCTATTAATGCTAAGACCCGTACACAAGGCATTTATGTCCGAGAACCGGAACAGTCCATGTTAAATTCAAACTCAACAGAAACAGATATTTGAAATTATCCAGACATCGTGATATTTAGACTATGTTTCTGATTACATAAACTGATATTACCACTACTATTCCATGCACTCAAAATGAAATTCCCGTTTTCTGTTTCATCAGTGACCGTACATATGTAACATAATGTCGATGTGTTGATAACACATTTATTTTTTGTAGCATACTGTTTAACGTCTCGTCAACACCTATGGTCATGTAAGAATGGGGTAATTAGTTATTTCACAGACGTCCACATACGTGTGAAACATATACATTTCATATCATTAAACCCATTTGTCTTAAGCGTAAAATGACTATACCCAAATACTAATTGAAAAAAAGCCGCAGATCACCTGATCTGGTCAGAGTATACTTGACAAGCTGTGTTAGCTTGATTCAGTACTCATTAAAGTAAACACATTGTAGATAAACAATCAAATGAAATTATCCCCCCGATTAGGATGATTATATGCTAGCAAACGGCTTATGTGCTTCACTGCGTTTATCTTTAAAAGTCATCATGAAATTGATTGAATTGCTTTTGGACAATTAAATAATCGAACCAAGAAAAAATTCATTAAGTCATGACAGAGCGTTAATCATTATTCAGAATGGCAGTGTAACACCACAGTGTATGTATAAAGTACACGAGGACTTAGTTTTAAGGGAATACGAACAGTACATTCTATTAACAATATCACGCGCTATTAAGGACACTTGTATTTATCTAGTTTGCTACCAAGTCATATATATATATATATATATATGTTTTCGTTTCCATGGTTCATATCACAGCGCGCTTACCAAAAGTGTGAAGAAATAGGAATACCTTTCACTTAAAATATTTAGAATTTTGTTATTCATAACTTCACTTGCTTCTTGGAAATATCGCAGAATACAACTACCTGAAAATAACACCATTTGATTAAAGTACATGTATGTATTTTATACAGGATAATAATCTGGGGTTAATTTTGGATTTTCTAAGAAGTATGAAATCAATATTTGTTGATTGATGTATTATACTGTCCTTGATCTTTCGTTGGAAAACATCATCCGGTTGTCAATATCTTTTTATTTTTCAGAAATTCCGGCTACTATGACGCATGCGCACTACTGATCCTTTCAAGCCTTTGACAATTTCAACATAAAAAAGTGGATATGTCTTTGATGTACCCAACATTTTGTCTCATCTATGTCATAACAGCAATATCATCAACATTTTCGGCATCGACTGCGCATCCTCATTCAAGTCAGGTGACGACGTCATTGAATCAAAGTTCTGAGAGTTCTAATTTAACGAACACGCATGAAAACATAAGTCATACCGACCATCACCACCATGTCGAAGTTTTCGAAATCCGTTATCATGATATCAGGGAACCCTTCCTTTTTACTGTGGTAGTTTTGGTAGCAGCTATTAGCAAAATAGGTAAGTAATCATATATAATCATATTGAAAAAATTCTTACGTAGATGAAATAAACTGCAAAGTCAAGGTAGAAGATTCATCAGCTGTTTATAATGATCTCAATTCATATGTCTTTAAACAAAAATAGATTCGATGTCTTCGACATGCTCCTCGTAATGTCATGTGATTTAATTTTTATTACCTCGGTTTTCATTTTGAGAACGTAACTTTGCTTAGATCGGCTTAGATTTGAATCATCGATCATATGAATAGTGAAAATACATACAACGGAAAAACCTATTTCCAAACAAACTTGTAATCAGTCAATAGTACATGTGAAAACAAATAATGAACACAACGTATCGTACAGCTGATTCGCCGTTCTAGGGCACCTCAGTCATGCCAAGAACATAACTTGTTGAAATCTGGAGGTCGAACGAGTAGAAAAGTGGAAATTGATGTTCAAATCAAGATTTAGAGGTGCACTAGCCCATTCCCTAAATTAGTTTCATGTCTTTCAAATTATGGTCGACTTCATGAGTATATTATGAATCAGGATGAAGACAAACTTGACAAATAGATTAAAATGAGGCAATTTTCGCTTATTTTCCTATATGTTTGAAATATTATTCGTATGAGCTATTACTTTGAAACCACGTTTTGAATTCATTTGAATAATGGTACAGCTCAGAGTATATATATGTACTTGACACTCTCAGGTGATTATCGGATTTATTAACTTTTCTACGAAATTTATTGAAATACGATGTATGTTAAATATATGCTTCAACAATTAATTTCATTTTAAACAGATAGATATAAAATATTTGTAGACTTCGTTGTTTCGTATGTGACATTACAGTGTATCTGGATTGACCAAACGTAAAATGTAGGCCCCTAGTATCACTGACGAGTCCTGGAAGGATAAAACAGCTGTATAATGCAGTTAAATGTATTGTTTGGCTCTACTCAATCTAACTATGAATTTGTATTGAAATGTACTATTCATTTGTGTGTCTTTTTTACAATAATTAAAATCTATCAAATTTGTTGAATTATGGGATAGATGCAACTCCCTATATAGGTTGTGACATCTCTGTCGACCAATTCTGATATTTTTCAATCTCATTTAGTTATAATTTTGTAAAGAGAGATGCTAGTCACGTGATTGTCATAATTTTGTATAGAGAGATGCCAGTTACTTGATTGTCATAATTTTGTATAGAGAGATGAGAGATTGTCATAATTTTGTATAGAGAGATGCTAGTCACGTGATTGTCATAATTTTGTAAAGAGAGATGCTAGTCACGTGATTGTCATAATTTTGTATAGAGAGATGCCAGTTACTTGATTGTCATAATTTTGTATAGAGAGATGCCAGTTACTTGATTGTCATAATTTTGTATAGAGAGATGCTAGTTACTCGATTGTTATAATTTTGTATAGAGAGATGCTAGTTACGTGATTGTCATAATTTTGTATAGAGAGATGCTAGTTACGTGATTGTCATAATTTTGTATAGAGAGATGCTAGTTACGTGATTGTCATAATGTTGTATAGAGGGATGCTAGTTACTTTATTGTCATAATTTTGTATAGAGAGATGCTAGTTACTCGATTGTCATAATTTTGTATAGAGAGATGCTAGTTACTCGATTGTTATAATTTTGTATAGAGAGATGTTAGTTACGTGATTGTCATAATTTTGTATAGAGAGATGCTAGTTACGGGATTGTCATAATTTTGTATAGAGAGATGCTAGTTACGTGATTGTCATAATTTTGTATAGAGAGATGCTAGTTACTCGATTGTCATAATTTTGTATAGAGAGATGCTAATTACGTGATTGTCATAATTTTGTATAGAGAGATGCTAGTTACGTGATTGTCATAATTTTGTAAAAAGAGATGCTAGTTACGGGATTGTCATAATGTTGTATAGAGAGATGCTAGTTACTCGATTGTCATAATGTTGTATAGAGAGATGCTAGTTACTCGATTGTCATAATGTTGTATATGAGACGTGATTGTCATAATTTTGTATAGAGAGATGCTAGTTACGGGATTGTCATAATTTTGTATAGAGAGATGCTAGTTACGTGATTGTCATAATTTTGTATAGAGAGATGCTAGTTACTCGATTATCATAATTTTGTATAGAGAGATGCTAATTACGTGATTGTCATAATTTTGTATAGAGAGATGCTAGTTACGTGATTGTCATAATTTTGTAAAAAGAGATGCTAGTTACGGGATTGTCATAATTTTGTATAGAGAGATGCTAGTTACGTGATTGTCATAATTTTGTATAGAGAGATACTAGTTATTTGATTGTTTGTTGTAATTGTTTTGCTGAAAGCGGTATTTCTTCTGATATTCTGTTATCATATACTAGTTTAAAGATATTTTACGAAAAATATAGTTCGCCTACAGTGTAGAGATGTCTGTTATGTTCTGTAACATAAATTGACTTATTTGTTTCCTAGGTTTCCATTATGCCAACAAACTCTCTTCTATAGTTCCCGAATCATGGTACGTAAGTCCTTGCTAAGTTCAATAACGGTACTAACATTACCACAAAATATACAATAGTTCCTGTATGGTAAAAACCTGATAAACATCCACAAAGCAAGCACTGAGATAAACTGATGCAACTATGGTGATTCAGTATTACGAAAATGCATTATTGTAGATAAAATGCAACATAACTGTTCTTTTCGTTTAACTACTGTTTTTTAAAATACATTTAATCCTAATAATGAAAACACATTTAATCCTATATAAAGCTGTCTTGGAATTATGAAGCGTTTTTTGGATATACTTACATTGATGCACAAGTCCGCTAGTCTTATGTTATTCGCTTTTAAGAGCCAACATATAATTCATGTAGTTGAGCACTTGTGAAGTATTGTTGCTATCAGGAAAATCAGTGCACGAATTGTAAGATACACTATTTTCGTTGTTTTAAAAAGCAATACATGTAGCTGGTGTATCAATATGTCTGATACAACAATAAAACACAATAATGGCCTTTCGATGAGGTCAATAAATATTTTTTAACCTGAGAAATACACATTATCTAATCATAACGACATGTGTTGCATACACATTAATATCATAGAGTTTAATGATATCATCCAGTTTATTCTTCTATTTATTTCGTTTCCAGTCTCCTCTGTATCATCGGGACAGTATTTGGCGCCGTTATATAGTAAGTGCAGTCATGCCTCAGTATATAACATACTTTTGTATTAGATATTTCTTTATGGTACAAATTTCAGTGCATTGTGTGGCATATATTTCAGTTCATTGTGTGGCATATTTCAGTGCATTTCATTACATACAGGAAACACGTACACATATAGCAAGTGGAAAGTTAGCCATCTTATTTAATAGTAAAAAAATTAACCGGAGCTCTTCGACATTGTACTTGTAATACGTTAGTTTGTGAAATGCTAGCTGTGAATTTGAAGCTAATCGAGTTACGCATTTTTAAGTTAGATAACGAACCTGTATGAACGCGTCGATCCCACTCTAATCCGACCTTTTATCGCATGACACCCTACAATTTATAGAGTAATATGTTTCATGCACCTGTATATTTGGAGACTGACGAAATAGGCTATTGTCTTAGTTTTGATCCGTCAAATGTACTTGTCCGCTCAGTCATCAAACCAGGACTTTGGAGAAACTGTAGTATGTTATGTTACTATCCTTCTCATGAGACGAATCAAACATTTCATTTGCGATCAAGCTTGATTTCTTAAATATTATGAAAGTAACATGCATCGACTTGTTCCTTTTCAGTCTGACCGGATCTGGGGGAGATTTACGAGCTTTCTTTACCCCGGATACTTTTTTCAACTACTTACTACCTCCGTGAGTCCAATAGTTCTGTACAGAATTTATTTGAGTACTTTCTATCGCAACATAAAATTAGAAACCAGAAGTTGTTTGATTATTGACATTTTTCTTCCTTTGTTTTTTATCCTGAAACCTTGATAATACTTACTTAAATATTGCTGATCTTGTCATTTATGTATTCATGTCTATTTAAAGCAACGCTTTTTATCATGCATCGTTTAACATTAATTGGTTAATTACAAAATGGACACAGCTTTTACAGTTAACAAAAAATATCAAAATGTCGACAACATGAACAAGATCATAAAATATACGAACTGGCCGACGCGTTTTTTATTCTTTAATTGCGTTTTTCTTTTCAGAATCATCCTAGAATCTGCATTTTGTTTGTACGATAGAGCGTTTACCGATAACATAGGAACCATCCTGATATTTGCAGTCTTTGTAAGTAGTAGGTTCTTCAAGGAGAGACTTCGAATTAGGATTTTGACTATGTATTCGGTCTGTAAATAATATCCTTATTTTTGTAAAATACGGCCAACGTTTCAATTGAGATTAACGAAACAATGATGTCTTTTCATGGAAATCGGAGTTTTGGGTTGTCTGTGGTTGTGTTTGTTTCTATGTATCAAATTTTCTGGAATTATTTTTCATCCTTTGTTCGTAATGTGGCAAAATGTTTTGTTACTAGGCCGTCCTGTATAATTCCCAATTATACATTTTTGTATTTCAACGCCAAGATCACGCACTCGTTTAAAGACTTCAGTGTATCAATTGCATTCATTATCAACTACATTTATCTAAATTTCACGTCGACATGTCTTGAAAACATTCTGGACGATAATACATTTTGTATCTTATCGGTTGAATTTCACATTCACTTCCATTTCATATGACATTCATCAACCTCATTTGGAGTATTTTCCATCTCTCAGTAGAGGGTCGGTAAAACGAAAAATGTCTAAACTTGCTTTACAAGTTTCATATGAATGGAAACTGGTGTAAGATGGATAATTTCTTTCAAACCCCTAAAAGATAAATTTCATGGAGAGACATACCATCAATACGAAATTCGCAAAATTCTGAGCTACTAACAGTTCTCTATCGCAGTGTATTGCTGTCCTTTAATTCTATTCCTATTTTTTCTGAATCTTCTGGTAAGGTTTTGGTTGATGTTAGCGTTGATACTTAAGAAAATGCAAATCAGCAATTAGTTGTAACAAATATGATTTCACTGAACTGAATTAAGAGTATATATCTGTTCCATATTTTTGCAGGGGACTATAGCATCATGTAGTCTAGTTGGTGAGTACACGTATTTTGGTTTCTGAAACCTTTTTTTCTTTACATAAACGTAATATCTTCATTTTCGGTGGTACTTTTCGTTGTTATTTATGGCTAATCTTGGTCAGTGAATTATACATTGTGTATTCCCACGAATCATTTAACTGTTCAAGACATGAAACATGTTTATAATAACAGAGCTTTCAATGATTCAAAAGCTTACGAAATACTTTTACCATTTCCCTTGAAACTATAAACCCACGAAATTAAGTCGACAAAAATCATTTTACATTTACACTAACTCATAAAATAATAAATAATCATACAAGAGTACTTATGTGCAATGTAAACAGATCGATTAGCGAGAATCAATGTATGATGCCAAACAGTATTAGTATTTTCCTATTATTGCTACTATTCTCTCAGTCGTGCAGAGGAGGACGTTTTACTTTCACAGGTCTGTCGCTGATTGGACTACAGTCCAGTGGTACAATGGAATACATTGCGTCCCCTGTTCAGTTGCTGGTTTTCAGTGCTCTTATTGTTGCTGTTGATCCTGTTGCTGTAAGTTATATCTGACGTAAATTATATTGGTTCACAAATGTGAAATAACATTTTTATAAAATGTTCGTTATCAATTCCAGAACATTTTCATGTCCTCATTATCGTTGAATTTATTTCTTCGATTATTAAATGTTGAATAAATTTTATATCGGTATAGATTACCAAATTATTTTGACATGATCATATAACAAATGCACATGGTGAAATAAAATCTGTTGTAATTTCACTGCTTTAAATTTGCTGAGACATGTCAGATTGTCATTTCCATTTTGAAAGTCAATTTGTTTCATTGACAATTAAAACATTTCACTAACCACTTGTTAAATCTAACCTAGATTTGTGCAACCGAGCGCGTAAGAAATAGGGAAAGTCAAGAGAGAGGCATTTCTTTTCTGAAATTTTACAAAATGTTCAAAAAGATTCTTTAACGTCGTGACATTACAATTAACGTCAAATATATATTAATGAAATTTTCTTTCATCTCATCAACAATTCTTTAAAGAAACAAATCATTGCAAAAATATTTCACTTGAAAAGTTTCATATGTAAAAACTATAAACACTACATTTTTGGTTGACGTTGATTAAAGCACATTTATCACGACAAAACCTGAAAACTGCTTTAACTAACTGAATCAGAAAGCAGTTCTATTTAGCATTTAGATATTTTTCTGGATATATGGTGTGGATAGGGAAATGTCAATTGGTAAATTTTTGTATTCTTAAAATGGAAGAAGTAAATTTTCGTTTTCATTTCATTTGTCTGTACTGTTTGGGTATATTTGTGAAAAGCCACATTCAAAGCCATCAATTCCAGGTCCTCGCTGTGTTCAACGAAGTTGGGGTCAATAGGGTGTTGTATTTCCTGGTTTTTGGAGAATCACTACTCAACGGTAAGTCGATTTAAGTTTTTTTTTATCTACGTAAGGACTTTATGAAACATTGGATCAAAACTAATCGTTAATATATTCAATACTGAACTATTTTGAGACTAACATATATCAACATTTATTGATTTGTCCTCTCAATGAGTATATATTTAGGTTTGGCAATTCAAAAATGATTGTAATATTTCAATAATGTCCTGTTTTCGATCGATACATTTAGTAATAAATCTATGTCACAAATAATCTGGTTATTATTGATATTTCATCATTGTGATCATATGGTTTGGTTTGTCCATTAGATGGAGTCACAGTTGTCCTGTATAACGTCCTACAAGCATACAACCTCATCTTGAAGGAAAGGGCGATCACTCTTGAGGACGTATGTTATTACATAAATTGGTTGTTGTTATCAATATCATGATGCCTTTTTATCAAGATGACCAGTGTGTGAAAACGCTGACAGAAATGAATTTGAACAATCCATGCTATTTCAATGTGGCATTGAACCCAATTATGTTTCCAAATGAGAGCCAAATATACATTCACAACAAAGTAACAAGTTTTTCATTACAAATATGGAGGTCATTTAGATAGAACATCCACTTTGAGTGATGGTGATGATTTTCACAACGCTTTATTTGTATACTCTTTTATTTGTACAGATCCTGCTTGGTGTTGTGAAGTTCTTCGTGGTGTGCTTTGGAGGTCTTGCTATTGGTTTAATTGTTGGTGTGCTTTGTTCTCTGTTGACAAAGTACACGAATACTACAAAAGGTACGAGTCAGAATATAAATGTACTGATTTGTATTGTATCGTTCATGGATGTTATTTTCAATTTGTGTGGCTTTTCATTATCAATTATTTACATTTCGTCGACCAAGATAATCTACATAGATAAAGCTACAATTAAGTAGAAATCCTGTTAAGTTTAAAAACAATAAACGATTTGTATCGTATTCGAGTAACAGAAAAAAATATGGTGTAAATGTGTTTGCTGAAGTGCTTTATTTATTTATCTATTTTGTGTTTCTGTTTTAAATATCATCACTTGTCTGATTGAATGCAGAAGATTAGGTTCCCTTAACATAAATTTCATTCTTTTATTCTTTCAATATGATCAGTAATAGAGCCTGTCGTTATATTCGGAATGGCCTACACTGCCTTTTTGGTAGCGGAGATGTTTCATTTTTCCGGAATTATCAGGTAATATTTACAGATATATCAATATCAATCATCATGTACCCTCTCGCCTTTAATTCAAAACAACGAATGATAAATTTAATGGTGTAATAGTATTTGAAATAGCACATTTCTGGCATATACTCACATTTTAATCGACTTGTTCTGTGACATTGTGATATTCTTGAAACAGCAAAAGCAGTTTCCCGAATATTTATATATATATATATGATAACAATGACGTCACGTGACAAAATGGCGTTATTGTCTTGACTAAGTGATGTAGTCTCTCCACAGCTAAAGATGCGAATGTGAATGATTTGTCTTTTTCATCCGATTTGATCGTAATGTCAATATTTTGTATATTTTACCTTCGGTACCAAACCATTACATAGATAGTAACTTATGATTGCAGTTTGATTGGTTGTGGCCTGATACAGATGGCTTATTCACTTCCAAACCTTACTAATAAATCACAGATCACCGTGAAGTTCTTCTCTCGTGTACTCAGGTGAGTAGAACTTAATATCAATACCATTATTCTTTGTAAACCGGATATACGTTCATATATCGTTGGTAACCCGGAAATACATCAAATTCTTCATATGTAGATAACGTTATATCTGAATCACCACAACAAGTTTTCCAGTGTGCAGTTGAGAACTGGTCCATCGAAAATGCAAGAAAAATGTCGACTTGCTAACTAAAGTTCTAGCATGAAATCAATAAACGTTTGGTCAATCACTAAATGAGAACAAGAGTAGATTTATGAACATTTGTAACGCAAGTAATGAACCCCGGATATATACAATGATACCTCTAAGTGGCATATTCGAATCTCTTACGGAGGCTGTGATGAAAGTTTTCTGTTGTGTCCACAGCACGACCAGCGAGATTATCATATTTCTTTTCCTGGGACTACTGGTGGTGCGCCCAGTTAGCTGGAGTACAGCTCTAACACTATGGACGGTTTTACTGATCACTGGCTTCAGATTTCTAGGTAAACGTTTCTCCTATATATCGATAAAAACATGGTTTGATAGCAAACTTTTAATTTCAATGATGATAATATTATTATTGATTCTTGTTAGAATTGATCTGACGATGTCGATTCTCTTTGTTTGTTATTATTCATACCAAACAATTTGTTTATTCAAGGAATGATATATTACAATAAATGGCAAAATTTTTAGTTCGTGAGCTAGTTAAAATTCCTTGTTTTATTTACACCAATATTTAGTTAGGTCTTACTCTCCTTTTTACTCCAGTGATGTTCACCTTTTCCTCCCTCATCAATCGTTTTGACAGACACAGCGTCAGAAAAATCCGCTATGACGAAATGTTTATCATGGTACGTCGTCAATAAGACTATGCTAATTTAAAACTTTTGCAGTGCGTGATATCCTTTTATTTTCATTAATCATTTAAAACATTGAATTAGATTTATGGTACTGATCAAGGGTTCGTGTTTTTAAAAGTAAATAAATACTATACCACTCGTTATGTAACCTCAATAACTCATATTTCAGTTTTGAGTAAGAAATGAGCCACAGAATTAACGACCTCTGTCCAGCTTAAATTTGAGCGGACTAAAGCTGAAACTGACTTACCAATGTTTTGTGCAGAGTTACGGCGGTATCCGCGGGGCAGTATGTTTCTCTTTGGTTGCTCTCCTGGACGAAGACGCTTTTCCAATGAAAGACATGTTCGTTACATCAACCCTTTTCGTCATCTTTTTCACCGTCTTTATTCAGGTATGTTGTATCGCTGTTCATTTCTTCGTCGTTCGATTTGAACTAAAATAAAGAATATTATTTTCCTTCCCATCATAGATTTATGTAATTGGTGTATTATTTATCTTATGAAATTATATATAATTTGTTAATCATTCTGCGTATTTTCCATTGTTTATTACAATGTCGAAGTAACATAATCCTTTATTATATGACATATGTATGCTTTCCAGGGATCAACCATAAGGCCGTTCGTGACATTGTTACGAGTCAAACTTGCATCCAAATCTGTTGAAACATCACTTGTCGAGGAAGTAATGAGTCACGTGAGTTTTATATCATTCCCAGGGCTCTCGAGCATAGTTTCCATGACAAAAGCAGTATTAACTCTCCTGCAACGGTTAAACAGCTCGAGCTCAAATAAAGCCACACTCGAAACCATTTGTTTAAAATTGAAGTACGTTAAAACGGAATCCGATTTATTACAGTAGTATTGTTTTAACAACAATTTGTTATCTAAAATGTAATAACGTGCATCAATTTAGGTTGAATTTATTTACGGTTTCGGATAAATCCAGTTAATGAATTCAAATTGAGACACATTTTAACACCTGAAGTTCGAAAATGTTTTTTATTATTTATGAAGTTTTAATGTTATCGTACTAGACGTATATTTTTATTTTCAAGATCTAAACAATGTTTCTTAATATATTGTTTTTAGGTAAACGATCATGTGCTTGCAGGTATTGAAGAGATCATTGGGAACGAAGGCAAAAATTCAATGAGGGTACAGTAGAATAATTAATTTTGCTATATATCCTGAACAATGGATATGTCCGGTTTGTATTTCATAACTTTCATAACTATTCAACATCCACAAATACTGACGTCCTAACAAACAAGACTACTTTTAACAAAAGTCATTCCGAGTAGGTTTTGATAAAGGATGACATACTTACATGAGATCATAATTCAAACTGAAAATGCAAACTTAAGGAAGATTTACAAGGAAACTACTGTCAAAATACAAAGACAAGAAGGTCCGGTGTTCCAGATTGGTAAGCGTCTTCTGCTTCATTGACATCACCAACCATGTAAATCGTGGTCAATGAACGTAAGTAATGTCACGTTCCCAAATGAGCACAAAGTATACAAAAACAGAATCAACAGGTAACCTAACGATAATTAAACAGACCGGAAATGTTCCTTAAACATTTGACTATTACATTCAGTTTTACCGTTTGCTACAGAACCTTTGTCGACCAAAAAAATTATATAAAACTGAGACTATGGCATTGAGGTTTTATAACAACACCTATTTAATCATTAGTCCGTCTTTGTGCAAATATTTCGGACAGCAATGTGCAATAACCTATTCTTGAATATGTGAATTAACTTCTCAATCAAATACATGTGTACGGACACATAAACTTGATATCATAAACACGAAACAGCGAAATTCTTTAGTGAGTTATTACCAACGATATAAAGTTGAGGTTACAGGACGTAACAAGTTAGAAAAGAAGAAACAGAGGAAAATAGAAATAAAACATTGGTACATGAAGAATCTAATTGTGATACTTTTGGATTTCACAGGAATGGTTTTACCATTGGGATGAGAAATACGTCCGTTCTATTCTACTAAGGGACCACGACCTAAACGAAGTGCAGTATGAGATTCTACAATGTTACGAGAAACTTGTCATGAAGTAAGTTTTGTAACTGATATTTTGGTTCCAGTAAACACAATCAGAGCATTCACCAGGTGCACTTTATTTAACACTTTATGGTTCATTATATGAAACAGAATATAAATATTTATTTCATATAGATTCATTCAGTTCTGAAATCTTTTTACAAAAATATTTTTTTATACATTTTTCAGAGAGCATTACAAAAATTTACATATGAGCGGCGCAAAGAACTTGCCAAAAGCTGCAGACACACTGTACGTATAAACAGAAGTTTATAATCCTTCCTATTTGTTATGATTTTCAATATGGATGTATGTCTGTGTGAATTGCACTAGCAATTCCAAAACCACCTACATCCCACAACGATATTGTATCAAAAATATAAATCATTGCCAAGGTATCATATCTATGAAGACTGTATACAGATCTACTACATAAACCTGAATTTAAAAGATTATAAGCCACTCAAAATGGAACAATTCCTTATGTTTCTTATTTTTACTTCAACATTTGGTGAACAATATTCGTCAAATCTGCGATAACGAACAGATCTATGAATATTTGGTTATAATTTAGCCCATAATTAGCCTGTTTACGATTTAATTTAGTATATAAATGTATTTTATGGTATAATCCGTAATTCTGTTTTTCGTACCTTTTTGAAAATGGTATTCTTTGTAAGGTTATCAATTTATCTTTAGGAGGAACGTAGACAGTACAGCAATCATAAGACAGATACGTAGAAATAGTATCTTGCCTGTAGACGTTTTACATAAAGTAGACGAAGATGAAACGGCATCTGGTAAGTAAAACGTCTGGCAATCAATTCTGGTTTATCTTTGATAATACGGCTGACTGTATGTTTCCCAAATGGTATTTTGTGTAGATTCAACAAATGCATCGGACATAAAAGATAGAAATATATTTACACGTCTGGCAACAGCATGCTGATTCACGTCATCTGCACACATTTGGTGCCCCTATTTGATCAATGCAAATTACTACATCGAGTGTTACATTATTGTAACATGAGATTTTCTTACACTAGCATGCTTACTATTTCCTCTGGAAGGATGAGTTAACAACGTATTTTGCAGGTAGGCTTATAGTTACAACTCTTTTTAAGATGCTGCTGTAAGCAATATATTCTAGGCGATACATCCGCATTGATCCCTTTCAAGACGAACTTATTTTATTGATTTAACACTGCTTTGATGACACATTTTGCTGTCTGTTAATAACCAAATACTGTAAACGTACATATTTTAGGAGTAATGTTATTTTAACGTTTTTCGCGCTGAAATTATTGCTTAATAACGATTGCGTTAATTGTCTCTTCTGGATAAAGTTTACATCATCATTATTATCGATGTGTTAAATAATCAATATGCCAAAAAATGATAATGACCTAAAATGTTATTCTTCATACAGGCACCGAGTATATAATAAAACAAAAGTACTTTTAAATTATTTTCGTTTGACACGACATTAAAGATAACAGTGGCAGAAATAAAAAAATATTACAGGGGTTTATCGTTACTTATTCAGATATCGTAATTCGTTTTGTTTGCGAATGTGTAATATATACATATATACATAATTCTTTAGAAAACTCCGACGTGAAATTCACTGTGGATCCATCGCCTGCGTCCCCAATGCAGTTACGGAAGTTTCTTGATAAAAATGCCCAACAAAGGCGACCAAGTTTAACGGTTTGTTTTATTCATAGTACATATAAGTACAAACAGGTTTTCTTTACATTTAAAAATAAAATAGATTGTGTATCCAATATTTCAAAAGTATAACACATTCACTTTTCTGGTGAGATAATTATTTATTTTTATACCTATTTCTTGGGGGTATTTATACCTGCCCATGCGTTTTGTTGTTTGTTTTGGTCCTTAAATGTTTTGAATATGTATTTACCTTCATATTACTTACTCGATGTTTTCTTATTTCTATAGATGAATATATATGGGTTCAGCAAATCATCTGTCTTAAAAATGGATGACCGTCGTAAAATGCGTCGTCCCAGTATTACTTTGCTTGAGCAACAGTGGACGAACAAACGGAATACCAATATACGACTACAAAGTACTACCTTTATGAAGAACAAATGGGAACGTCCTAAATCTTGGTCAGGAGAAGATGCTGCAATTGCCAAAGAACGAGGAAAGGAGGAGATGCCAGAACAACGCAGGCGCGCCATGACCGTTGATGTTGACCCAACTACTGCAAGGAACACTCGCTCACGACTCTATGATTTCACGAACAAACCAATTATGGAGTCGTTGGATGAACAAGTTGGCATGGAAACAGATAATATGTCAGAGGTAGATCCTCTCCTATCTTCTGACAGAAAGCAAGAAGATAAGGATGACAAGGGAGGTCATTCGTCATGCAATTCGATACGTGGGATATCTGATCAGAATGAAAATATAGGACTGATCAATGTTGAGCACATAGCAGACAAAGACAATATAGAACCATTCTGTAGCAGATCAAACTCAAACGAGTCACAGGGATATCTGATACGACAGAACGCGTTATTTGTGGAAGAATACCTACCATTAAATGATAATGTTTACTTAGAAGATGAAACAAAATCCTGAAAATTTCAACAAACCACCGATTATTAACATTTAACTGATTTATATTTACGTCTATTATAAGATATAAAGGTGTTTTGCAGAGACAAGAAAATACTAAATGAAATTACGAAAGTTGAAGTTGAAAATACTAGTCTGTTAATGCAATCTAATGAGAATTCGATGTACACAACAAGGAAACCATCAAGTATACAGTAGGAGACATATTATCATGGTGGTTATATATATTTCAGATATTCGATCAATTGACCATCGCTTCATTAACACATTTTCATTTAATTGTTGATATCGTCATTAAACTTTAACACATCAAGGATCTTTGTCATTTTAATATTAAATAAATACAATATTATTTGTAATTAGTTTTGCAGGATTTTTTGTTTACAATTATTGGTGTTTTTAATATTCTGTCACATTAATTCTTTTGTTATTGTTAAAGATGGAAATGATTAGGAAAATGATAAACAAATTAAGTATTCATGCATACAGTTTTCTGTTCTGATTAATGTAATTTGTACATGTCGATTCGAAATATGTTAATTTTTGTTTCTATTCACAAGACTAAGAATTTCTTTCAGTATTTCATATTCTAGTTGCCTGAATTTACGTATAACTGATTTTGTGCTAATGAAACATTTTGTTTTACTTGTAAAACGTTGGTCGATTCCATACCATCGCGTACTCTACGTCCGTCAGTGCTGATACGCTCCACAGTAATCATTTGTCTGATGGAGGAGTCATTGAAACGTCACACTACCGATTGTGTTATAAGAACTTCTATTCTATTGATATTACCAACCCGAAGAAAATGTTCCAAAATAGCATTTCGTCATGTCATGTTCTGTTAATATATTTCATTTCCATTATACTCATGTGGAAGCAGTTTTGCAATGTTGGTAGTTGTCCACTATGATATACATGCAGTATAATTCTATCGTTTGCAAAACTTACCAGAATTGTTCAGTCATAATATTTGTAGTCTCTTAATCCAAACAACCGCGAAAATGAGTTATTTCGATTCCGTTTTTCACTCTGCTTTATTTACAATAGCGCTAAAGGCTGAAATGTATATGTACATTCTGCATCAGTATCCAACATATTCGTACGTAGTCACGGATGCCATTATGACATGGATCTATAATGTATAAATATAATTCTCTTGAAAGGAGATTAATGATTTCAAGAATATATGCTGAATACAGGACTTAAACTATATCATCCAGCAGTTCCGTCCCTTGTCGCCTCTTTCGAGATGCTTAGAAACAAACGAAACTTGGAGTATTGAAATCAAAGTTATTAAACGCATGTGTTGCACCAAATAAAAAAAGTGAAAAGGTAATCTCAATGAAAACTGAGATTTATCATTTCTTAAGATAATTATCTTCCTTGTATCTTACCGTAATACATGATTGTTATATGTCTGTATACAGTGCATCCTTTCGATGGTTCACGTGACCTAGAAATGGAGCAGCATTAACACCGCTCAGAAAGTTCATCAGTGCAACCTTTTCTTGTATATTATACAATCACATTTTCACTTGCTGTATAGAAGTTGATTTAAATCATGATTCATATTACTATCAGCCAGATACCAGTAAGGACACATTTTCACCGAATAAAGACAAATTTACATAATAACCTTGAAAGTTTAATACTGCTCCCATGTACGATCACAACCCAATATTTTTGAATGCAGATTACTTCAAGGTTAGTGACTCATACCCAGGAAAAGATTGCGCCGGCAAAGTTTTCTGGTTAGTATTTATGTGACTTGCTAAATTGTAGAACTTCTGTTTTTGATGTACTCGATAGCAACAGTAACATATCACGTGACAAACTGACCAAGGTTGCTATTCATTTTGACATTAAAAAACTACGGCAGGTTTTCTTTATTTCTGCGATATCATTTCAATTGCTGAATACATAATCTTCAGGAATACCGCATACTTCCAGAGTAAATCCTCTCAAGCCATGGTATGTTGTTCGAAATGTTGTACCACCATCAGAAGTGAAAGCTGACGTTAAGGGGCAAATTTGCCATGCATTCGACTGGTCATCCAAAACTGCATTTGCGTTTGGAATCATACGGAAGTGCAAACACTATTCCAAATGACACCTCCAAAATGTTTGAAAAGACTGAAGGCTAATATGCTGAAATGTCAGTCGATATAGACCATGCTCACATACACCCGTTGTTAAGTACGTACCGTCTATGGAATGTTGGCATTACAACTATGTATCTTATTTGAATACATTAATGAATGATTGTAAGCAAATATTACTTTGTATGCGCTAGACAATATGAAAATATAGAGAGGGGATGCGTTTGCTTTAACTGGAAACTATGATATTATGTGGAGATTCAAAATATAATCTTTCAGTAGAAGTAAGGTGTTCTTGCACCAGGTTTCTTAATATGCACCAAAATAGCTAAATAACTAAACATTGTGTATAAGCAAATTACACACGGAGACAAAGCTGAAATCACAGTTTAAAGGGACTTTTTTTATTGTAGTTTACGTTTGGGGTAGATAAAATAACGACAGTATAACTCATACACAAATACATATAAAAACTTGCACATTTAACAAAGACGCTTGGTAGCCGCTTGGTGGTACAAGCGTAGTGGTGAAAAAGTTCAAATTCGTTAGTCCACAGCCTCATTCGGTCTGCTAGTAAATCAAAATCTGTGATGATATCGGAATCAGTGGGGACTTCCACGAACTATCAAACACAGTCGCATAAATTATGCATTTCATCAAAATTAGAAGAAGTTTTTATTTCAAATAATTAGAGGCGCAGAAATGGAAACAAATCTTACCTTACAGCAGCCTTCAATATTTATTTTTTTACCGATCAGAGACAACGAAATGATGGTAATTTTGTTGAATCAGGCAGTTGGGTTTTTGACAGTGTTATTGTAAATGTAAGATAGTCATTTCTTGTGTCAGTGTTTCAGCCTCGTGGTGCAATGTTACATATTGGGGAAGGAAATGTTTGTGCCAACGGCGTTCAGCTTTTATTTCTGTACTCTTTCCTTTCAACCTTTCGTAAGAATACAGACATCACGGAAATGTATGGTAATATATGAGGATATGACAAGTCATTGGACAAAACCATACTACTGTCAACGGATGATGACTTGATATCGGAAACAAACCCTCCAATTAATAATTAAGTGTGATATGTAAACGCCACAGGTTGGAGATAGAGTTATTTTAATATCCGAATTTAAATTTTAATCATCATGCTTATTCTACAACTTGTTAAAAAGCCATCTCCGTTGGTTTCGTTTGTAAGAAAAGATCGATATAAACAATTGATATAGGAAATGTAAGAGTCTGTTGTGTTCTTGTTTTTCAACATATGTAGGTATACCAATTTCTATTTATATAAAGCCGATAAATCATTATCGTATCTGAATATTTTGGGCCATTCGTGAAAAGCTTTCGCAGATTACCGTTTTGGATAACGTCCCTACTTACTTTGTGCCTAGTTGGACCAAGAAGAATTAGAATAAGACTATGTCGAAGGAGAAGTAATTTGATGATTTCTTAGTGTTGAATAAGGGATCATAAAGAATGACAAGTTACTCTCATATCTTCAAACGAAATACACATTTAAGTTTGATTTGAAAATAGCATGTACGGCAAACAAGAACCATCATCAAGTTTAGATTACAGTCTTATGAGTTGAATAGAAAGAATTCAAGCAAAATATTTAGCGAATATCATTATGAATACATAATGTATATGAGTCTTACTTTTTATAAGATGGGTCGATAGAAATAACATACATGTTGAAGGTACCTTTGATAAATCAATAGATTACAAACGTAAACTAATAGATTTTAAAATACTAACTATATATTGTCAGCTATAGGGAAATCTCATAAGGAAACGTGTAAATGTAATGGAACATATATACATGTAGAACTTTTCTGTAGGTAGAAGATAAAGTATCAAGGCAATTAACTTGTGTAAAAACACGAGACTGCGATAATATATAGTTTAGGTTGAAACACTAAGAACATCATGGATTCAACAATGATTTACTACTTACCACTTAGAAATCGTCTTTTGTTCAATGTCATACGTAAGTGGGAAAACAAACCCTACCTTTAAAACTGAAGGGTGTATAATAATGGGGTTGGTAGAGAATTTATGAGAATGGGCTTTAATGAGTGGCGGGCGCTGAAGATTTATATGCTGTGTATCTGACGACCAGAGTCTCATGAGGCAGTTTTTAAATATAACGTATGTTATCACTGTACAAGAATCGCTCTTTCAACAAACAAGACAAAAATATATAATGGGTAGATACCACATATATGAGTAATTATAGACAGTTATCGGTATCATGTTTATGGACCTCAAGTGAAGATACAAATTAGCGGCTGAAATTCTGGTGGTACTTTTCCGTTAGTGCAGACAATCACTCATGAATGAGATTTTTAACCCATGGAATTTTGCCATGTAAACTGATGCCATTCTTTCATATTGTAAAGACTTTACTTTGTTTTCTCTCATGGTAGAGAAATCGCCTAGAAAGAATGTTAAAAATGTTTGGGATATATATGCACTAAAACAATATGTATGTGTCACAAACATTGATTTATATTACATTGCCTACTTAAACTCACGTACATATGTATATAGTTTCCAAAACAGTTATAAGAGTATTTGTGAAACTGTTGAACGAAGCCGAAAACAAAATTATTGGACACAATATTTAAACAAGTGCAATACTATTGTAATAATGGGGTTTCCTGTCCCGAATTATAAATACTGAACACCCCCTTATTATTATCGATGAATGCACCGAGTTTTATTATCCGAATTTAAATAAGAGCGAAGTTATGCTCTAGATATAAAATTTCAACAAATAGCACTACCTCTGTAATCCAAGGTTTGCTGGCTCTGAGTACGATGCAGAAATTCTTTCTTTTCTCTTTTACCTATTCTCTTTTTATGCTTCATTTTGGCATTATAAGGTTTAAGCATGTTGATAAATCACTTACTCTCATTTCCTGATGATATCCTAGTATATATAGAAAGTATGTTAAATTCCCACTTTCTAAATATCTATGCAAACTAATACACCCTTTATCTCCACTTGTGTATTTCATAATATTTATAACTGTGTACTTGATAATTGTGTTTGTTAGAAAACAACAATCTCGACGAAAAAAAAGGACAAAAAGACAAAAAGAAAAAAAAATAACATAAAATTCATTAAGTTTTATTACAAATTTCAGACACGTTACATTGCTTCAAATATGTGGTTATAGCTTTTTTTTTTTGTTTCTTCAGTTGACACAACACAACAGCATAAGGGACGTAACTCGATTGTAACATAACTGGCATAAATATTTGTCATACACCTTATGGTAAACATTGACACCAATCATATGAAAATATATGTACACCAAACTGTTTAGATTAGGTAGATACAGTTTAGAAGACTATATATATTCAATACACGCTTTATTAGAGATAACCTTAACAATAAACCATGCAATCACACGAAAACTGCTCAAAAAGTGTATTTTATCCGTTACCGGTATGTTTATAATCTAAATCAGTAAAATATCATAATCCTTCTATATCAATTATTTCGAAACTATGCAAGATTACAGTTTAAATCATGAATGACTTTCCTATATACAGATTCAAATCCCTCTGATATGCAATAACAAACTGTTTATCTTTAAGTAACAAACTGTTTATTAATTCATCTCACTCAGAGCCACACTGTAGTTAACGGTTGTATCAAACTGACGGTAAAGGCATACAAAGTGACATTGCAAGCAGTTTGTTTACTGCGAAAACATGATTATTGAAATATGAATCGTTGAACGAACTAGTTTTTCCCGATTGATTCTGTTCTCAATAATGTTCAGTTTCTCCAGAAAAATACGAGAAATAAATAATTCATCATCGTCACCATCATTGTGGACAAGTTTATTGCCTCTTTTTTGTGTTCACTTTCACTGTTTAAGACCATGACTAAAAACTTAATTGATAGTTTCCGATTCAAATTCTATGTACATAAGTCTTTATTAAAATATCAAAATGACGCGAACAAAAGTCGTTAAGACATAGATGAAAATAAGTTTATAATTCAAGCGGATTTTTTTTCAAAAGAAATACGTATGATGATTAAACCTCTATGAACATGGGAAAGACGATTTCCAGACACAGTCCCCGCTGCATTTGTCCTCATCCTTAACCTTGTACCGTAACAACACATTACAAGTTTTCTGGTACATATTCTTACCTGCGTCACATGTAATGAACATATGACATCCGTTAGGATGACTGTACGAGCAATTCGCTTTTCTGCTAGCACAAAAAGCTGAAACAGAAGGACAAAATAAATGTTGTATTCGATATATGTGAATGGCGGCCAGATGTCATATAATTGAATTAATTAGGGTAATTAAGAACACAAGTGTAATATTATAAATGTAAATAATGTCATTTCCTATTAAAAATTATTACTGTTGAATCATATATCAGCTTATATACCATGGATATCAATATTCATACATTTCAACTACATTCTAAAACTCTTTATTCTAGGACTCGTTAAGTATGCCGCTGGTCCTATATGAGAAAAGTTATGTGTCAGCAGATGTTGCTTAACACTAACCAGCAATATATATATACCGATTGAATAAAGATTAAAATCAAATCTAGGTTACGAGGTTACATTTATTACATTTATGATACTTACATTGTTCACACAGGTCTGTGTTGACACATTTCTTCGTGTCTGTAAACGTCGGAATGTGACTCCCGCATTCCTCTCCGGTAAATTTGCCATCACATGTCCTATTCCTGATCCTTATTCCAGTTCCACAAGAGAAGCTGCAATCACTCCAGTCTCCCCAACTATCGTAACACGTCAATTCTTTACAAGTTTTTGTTTCAAAACTCATCCCAATACATTTCCCGCCAGCAGAGTCGTCACAATCCCTATTTCTATGTAACGTCCCTTCACCACACGAAGCAGAACAGTCAGTCCATTCAGACCAGGTGCCCCAGGTACCAGGTGGGGGACAGGAAACATCGCCACAGGTTGACGTGGTAGAGGCAGGTCCAACACAGTTTTGGCCTCCGTGTTTAGGAGGAGGATTATCACAGTCCCTCGATCGATTCCTCATACCACCACCACATGTGGCAGAACAAGCACTCCAGTTCTGCCAGGAACTCCAGTTTCCGTCAATGGGACAGTGTTTTAGCATACATTCTTGGTCGTCAGTATCGTTACCTTCACATACCTCGCCACCAAACGCCGGGAACGGATTATCACATGTTCTATTGCGGGTTATGATGCCATCGTCACAAGAAGTAGAGCAAGAACTCCAGGGAAGCCATTCACTCCAATTCCCATTCACAGGGCAGTGGGTAAGCGTACAGTTCTGTGTGTCTGATGCTGATCCTTCGCAGTCATTTCCACCAAATGAGGGAGGAGGATTGTCACAGTTTCTGCTGCGTATCACGGTACCGTTACCGCAAGTAACAGAACAGGCACTCCATGGCTGCCAGTCAGTCCAAATTCCGTTAATTGGAGGATTCCCCACAACTAGCAAACAATGTTATCAATTACAGTCTTGTACTCATATATGATTGATATTTGTCCATTAACATGAACATGTTATGCTACTACTGGCCTGAAAATGCCATTGTCTTGATCTATCGGATTTGAGAAGAAGTCCGTTCCTATCATATAATGATTCGTTTAATTCCAAAGAATTATACTTTGATTACCCATTACTTTAAATTTCATAAACTTAAAGTTCATAACGTCTTTCTTAATTAGCATGAAATAGGAACTATTGAAAGAAAGGAATATTGTAAACATCGAAGGAAACCATAATTGTGATGAATGTAATTGATGCTACAGTTATGGGATTTTTTTTTACAAAAACATGACATGCCTAAGTCAGCTATATTACCGAAGGAATAAAATTTAAGTAAATATTCTTCATACTTTTGCTTGTATTTCCTTCTTTGAGAACCACAGTAGTCAATGAAGCGACTGCGGCTACGAGCAGAACCAAAACAAGTACTACTACAACAATTATCACCAGGCGAGTCTTCTTCTGAAATAGAGAATAACATCGATTACCGTTATGTCTATAATTTTGTTTGTCTATTTGTACATGGTGAACAACAACAACAACAACAACAACAACAACAACAACAACAACAACAACAACAACAACAAACTAAACAATAGCAAGTGAAGTGCAATCAATAACTCGAATTCGATATAAACTCGGGTATTCTGGAGGGATAAGCGTATTCCTCTTTTACCACGTAAAACCTGGTCAGTCAAATTGAGTCACGTTCCTATATTAAAAGAAGGTATCACAATGTTGGCCGTAAAACTGGACTATGATCTTCATCGATCTGCATCTCTCGTCACCGTATTGTGAGTTTATTTGACAAATGTGGATATCTTGCTCGAAAATTATATAAACAATATCAACCTCTTCATGCCTATATAGGGTACTGGATATAGTAATATCGTGTTGTTATTTCAGTGAGCGATTGCAACGACTACGTCTCCTGTCACAGAAAGCGTTCAAATAGAATGTGATGTACAATTTAAATTGGTGACAACTAGGTATATACAAGCAATGAAAATATCGACATATTAGCTGAAACTATAAGATCATCTCTTCATCGATGAGTAATTTATTGTAACCTATCAGGCTAGAAAACACGTACTTCTTGTCATAATGTGCATCTGCATTGTAGTTTTGTTTTTTGCATAAAAAATATGGATGACAAGTACATTTTAAGAATGATCAATTGCACCCTTGCAAATATTGACGATTTGCTTTACTCACCTTTGATGGTTCTGTAGCTGCTGCAGTTGGTCCAGGCTGTGGATAACAAATATACTGACCATTAACGTTGTCACGTTAAATGCTTTAAGTTTGGTATACACTTCCTTTCGTCAAAAGAATTAAAAGACAAAAATGTCATTGGCATTATATTTAAATTCGATTGGTCAACACTGGTCAAATACTGACAAATCTGGAACCTTACTTCAGTGGTCTAAATAGATTAGCAATATCACAATATAACGTTTGCAGCAATATCAAAAACCATTCACAAAACTGATATAATTACGTCATACTTCTATAAAATGTCGATGATTAGTCTATTAGCAAAACAAGTTCCTAGCTGGATGAAGATAATGACATAAGAGTTCATTATCTCTTAATCACAAAAACAATAATGTATTATGTCAGACCTATTTAATTTAAACCTTTGCCGCCATAATTTCACAAGTATAGAACACGAAGTTTGGGTACTATGGAGTAAAATTTAAAATGCTATTCTGACGAAGAATGAATAATTTCTTTAAAAAAACACTTCCTCAGTGATCAAGTGCGATATTTTACCCTCTAACTTTTGCCAATGACAACAAAACTCTAATCATTGTTTGAATTGTATGTGTTTCATAAGTACAAATACACGGAAAACAAGCAAATCTGAGGGAGTGACACCGATAGTACATACATTTGATGGTTGTACACCTCCGATCACAGCGTAGGTTGATGCTTCTGTCAGTAACTAATAAAAAACATAAACATTATTTATGAAAAAAGAACTGAACACATTATATCAGCATACATTTCAACGTCCGTCGAAGATTCCTTTTAAAAATTTTCCTAAAGACACACAAGTGAATAGCATTCTTTAATACAAAGTTAGAGTTAGATACAGTTGAGCCAGTTAATCAGAGGCAATAAGTTAAATTGCATCGTACAGATGCTTGTCTTCTAGGACTCGTAAGTGGTGCTATAGGCCTAAATATTTAAATCTATGATACAACTTCAGGAAATCAAAGAACAAAGATATTTAAAAATGTCAAATGGAAAAGTATACTAACGTTACAACTTTGTACATTTCAGACATGATTAATGATTTCAGCAGATAGTCAATTACATGTGTTGACATTTATTTTAAACCGTGCCACTATGCGAATGCATTAAAACGTGGCATGCCGGGCATGGAAAACCCCGAGGACTAATAGTCCACCAGTAGTATCTGCTACCTGCAATCTCAAGGAATGTACAAACGACACGCAGGTGACAGCAATATTACTCTTTTTATCTCATTGCATAATACAGAAAACACATTTAAATGAAGGATGCAACTGCGTACACCAGTGACACTAAGTGTTTTTCTTATCACATAAATTGTCTGAAGTGCATTACGTAGCTTTAAGGCATTGTTCATGAAATAAAATCTTACGTGGGGAGTCCCAATTACCCTCATTCCGAACACTGATCAACCGGCTTTCACAAACCCAGTTCAGTCCTGTAAAGCCCATTTGACCTCTAATTTGAATTCACAATGTTCTTACTTAAAGATTTTCGTGTGCTTATCTGTTTGATTTTTTATTTATTTATTTTAAAAAAAATTTTTTGTCTTGTCATAAGATACATTTTATCTTATCTATTTTAATTTTCTTTTTCTTGAAATATTCCTTTTTTGTCCATGTGTTTCAAAGTGTTTTATTTCGTTTTACAAAAAAGTAACGCACTTTCATTCCCAAAAAGACATGGTAGAAAAAGTGAGGTATAGGTAGGAGTTAAACATTTAAACGAGATTTTTTAAAAAGATTCTTTACTACGTCATCAGGTATTTAAAATTATTTTCATTTACTTTACATCTTGATTGTAAAAATGATGTTTTGGAAAAAATATACTTTATTTTACAATCAATATAAGATACTTATTACTGAACTAAATGTCACCTTTCTTAAACAAAAATGGCACTAGTACAACAGATATAATGTGTTGATGGTGACTTCTGTGAATGTGCCAACTAAAGAAGAACGTAATGCAACTCAGATATAGAATACTTACTGAGGAATGCGATCTCGTGGAACTGAACTGAAAGAAAATATTACGGGGATTACTCCTGTGTAAACATGAGCGATATAAAAGCGAACCAAATATTCTTGGAATGTTTACTTCAAAGTTCACAAAAATATCAATATATATGGATATTTCAACATGGATAACATTTACGATTTATTCTTTATTGAAACTTCCTTTGACATATACCTTGTCAGCAGAACACTTTACATAGTCGAAATTGATATAGTCGTAGGGATCTTCTTTGGTATCAGGTAAATTCTGAGTTGGGTTGGGCGTCATTGTAGGCTTACTGACAAACCCCTTGTTGTCATAGTGTCCAACCTTTCCCAGATCAAAAGCCTGAAACCAAGCAATGAGCTGTTTAGTATACATACGTGAAAAAGTACAGTTTGTTCTGAACGGCAGATAATGTCAATCACCGAAATATGGGCATTACGAGATAGTAAATGAAAACACTGTATCAGGTAGGTTAATCGACGTGTCAATCATCGATTAGATATGAAACGTTTGGTGAACGAGAGTATTACATAATCTTTTATAGATTCTTACCTCTCAATAACTAGAAAATGTCTGAGATGTAAACTAAATCGTTATTTGTCACGACTCCATCAAATAAGACACAATTCCAAACACAAAGTCATTATGCTCCATTTATTGTAAGAAAATTATTAGTATTTTTATTTATAACATCATTATCTACCTTTTGAGCTTATAATTGACGCACGTAAACAATTAATCTTTGTCAATATCTTACATCTAACACTTTAGGATATTAATATTATATATTACAAAATAACAAATAACAAATTGATTGTTTTAAACAGGTCCTATTTAACACTATTTCAGAAATTGCAACGAGACACAAATAGTCTTTTCGTAGGCGTTTTTATCAGTCAGACATTGAGCGAGTTAAACAAAAAGATTTTATTCTTAAACTGATCACAGAGGAATGTATTACTTGATATTCATATTTAATAACTGAACTAAATTTAACAAGTCACCAGAGAAATATGGTGGCCACAATTGGACAAGAACTACATATTATTAACCATCAATGATAACCTTTCCTGATGAGCGTCTCACCGAATATAAATTTATTTTCCAATTCCTTTAACAAACATACAGTTATTGCGGTTATACTATAAAAAGTATCGCTTTCGAAATAACCGATAAACACTTAGTAATCTGTGAAAGTTAATTAATGATACTGGAAAACATTGAAGAAAAAATATTATTGTAAGCTAAGAACATGAATTATAAGCTTGATATTAAGGAAATATCTTCTGTTATCCGAACACGTTCACAAATTCAAATTGATATTATAAATGCGTAATGTTTCTTACCTGATCATCCTTTTTCTTCAAGTATTCTTGCATTATTTTCTTTCTGAAAGTGAAATTGAAATTATACATTAAATTAGTCTGTTTGGAATGTAAATAAAGCATTAGCATTACTACAAACATTTATCCAAAAATGAATTAAGGAAATCTTTTGTGCACTTGAAAATTAACGTCTTTTTTCATTCAGTACATGCAAACATTTCCAAGTTGGATTTTTAAAAAAATATTTGATAAAACATTGTTTCAAATTAACTAAAATTTAGTTACAGTTTGAGTCAGTATCCTTTCAGGCCTTCCACACTCCCGATTTCTCCAAGCTATTAACGCATATGGAAAACCACAAGCGTCAAAATAAACCTTACGCACACTTCCTTGTCATTGCGTAACTGTAGCTTGTATGGAGACAAATTACAATCTAAGCATTAACAGGTGTAAACCCGAAGACATATATCAATATATAGTGTGTTATTCATGTTTATTGTGTCACGTTTATATTGATTTTCTGCAAAAGGCACAGAAAAAGTTGTTATCAGGAATTTGAATCTAGCAAGGACATTTTCTAAAAAGGACTTGAGTATTGATACACGACTTTCGGGACCAAATAAATTGCTTATAAAATCGATATAAATATTTAAGGTCGGGTGATTCACCAATATTTCCCGCTTATTACGCTTTATTCTATAATAACAAATAGTAATGAGCGCAACCTGATTCTACACAGACAGGTGTATGTATACTCATTACAGCAAACAGTCGGGTCTCTGGACAAGGTCTAATTAAAACAGATATTATGTTCGATTTACCACAGTAATACATGTATCGAGGAGCACACACACGTCAGACAATCGTTACATGACCTGGCATATCGAGAGAAGGTCCGAGACGACATATAGGGCACATGTCAGGCGTACAAAAGGTAGTCACTCGTCGGTAGTCGATAGTCGATAGATGGACGATGCGTAACTTTTCATGGTAACACCACGAATCATAGGCTTAGCGTTTATAAGGACAGTAAGTACAAGTATGTCCTCATATCAATCCCATGGTGTAGAGTGTAAGCAGCGCAGTAAGCAACTTCAGTGTCTAGGATTACTGCTGACACAACTGAGGAGGGCATTGTAACATCCATCGTTGTATTCGCAGCTAAAGGAGGCATCAAAGTGACTTACGTGAAAATAATTAAATGTTGGGGTGGAGAAGAACCAACATATACTGCCAGGCTAAACATTCTAGGACGTCATTTTGAAAAGACAATTAACCCATCATTCTGACCTTAAAATGTCCTTGTGCCCGAATGAGAATACCGTAATCGATTCGATGGTATTTTGTGCCCAATTCATTCAAACATGTAAATTTTGTGGAAAGCGCCTTGATAACATAATTGTTAATTTTTTTTTGTTCAGTTCCCAGTTCTATTTATTAGTCGGGACAAGTTATCAATTTATCTTTTTAATTTTCTAAACGTTCAGGGATATGTTTTTTGACAATTTAATAGACCATCAAACATCTAACTTTATTCTCGTTTGCAAAAGTGATATAACACTTGATAAAGAAAGGTGGTCGACTGATGCTAAGTATTGCAAATCATGTACATTATATGTTAAAAGAAATTAATAACGTCATAAATATGTGAAACAAAAAGATTGACAACATAAAATACTACCTTTTAAATCTTATAACGAAGAAAGGAAGTCTGTATGTCTGTCTTTAACTCACCTACGTTCTGAAAGTAAAATTGAAATTATACATATAATTAGTACAGTATTTAGGTCTAGAATGTATTTATAGTATCAGCATTGCTACTTATAATTATCAAATGATGAATTAAGGAAATCTTTTGTGCGCATGAAAATTAATGTCTTTTTTCATTCAAAACTTTTTCATGCAAACATGTTTTTATTTATTTGATAGATAAACTAAAATTTTATCAATTTTTTGAGTCAGAATCCTTTCAGTCCTTCCACATTCTCCTGATTTCTCCACGCTTTAACGTATATTATACGTGATTATAAACCTTATAGAAACTTCCTGGTTGTTACATAACTTTTTCGTGTATGAAGTATCGGAGGTGAAATACAATCCAAGCCTTATCAGCTGTTATCCCATAGAAATATATCACGAAAAGTGTGTGCTCTCCGTCACGTAGATATTAATTTTCTGAATAAGTACAAATCAATCAGTTATCCTATACTGAAAGGATAAAGAAACGCAGGGTAATATTTATTCCGATATTTTGAAAACGCGTTCTCCAAATAAAGTGAAACTTTGTGGATTGAGTAATTAGGTCATATTACACCTTGTCATGCATCGAAAATTTAGTCACGGTACAGTGCGCAGCTCTGGTAAATGGAGGAATGAGAAAACAAGAATCTCGTGCACCGTGTTGTTCTGGTCTCATGCAGCGTTGGTCAAGTCACTCTTCGTTAGTCTTAATACAGACCAACTGCTTCCATAAAATTAATTGAGAATTTGATTCGTTTTAAGAATGGCACGACTCACAGAAGTTCAGAGGGGTCAGGCCATTCAGATGCTGATGCAAGGACAGTTGCAAAATCAGGTTGCTAGGCACTTTGGTGTTAATGTTTCCCCCCATAGAACGTCTTGTAAGACGTCTTCGGGAAACTGGGCGATTGGCCGATCGACCTAGGTCAGGACGTCCGCGCGTAACGTCACGACGTCAGGATCGCTATATCGTCGTCTCTCATGTGCGTAATCGGCGCCTTACTGACGTTGAGAGTGCACTTAATGTTAGTGGAAATCATGGGCGTCCTATAAGTTCAAAAACTGTAAGGAATCGATTACGAGAAGTTGGTGTAAGAGCACGTTGCCCCTACGTAGGTCCACACCTTACCCCTGCTCGACGTCAGTGTCGTATGGCCTGGGTCGCTGCACATGCTCCGCGACGGTTTCCAGTGAGGCAGTGGAGACAAGTTTTCTTCACGGGCGAGTCTCGATTCTGTCTTTATCGATCTGACGGCCGTCAACGTGTCTACCGACGTCGTGGCGAACGTTTTACGTACGCTTGCGTTGTAGATGGGGATAGGTTTGGGGGCGGTTCAGTAATGGTGTGGGGAGGAATCTCATTCGGGTTAAAATGATTATTGATGGCAATTTAACAGCAGCTAAGTATAGAGATGAGATCCTCCGACTCAATATTATCCCTTTCTTACAGCAGCATAATCTAACCCTCCAGCAGGATAATGCTAGGCCCCACATAGCAAGGATTTGCCAAGTCTTTTTGGCCAACAACAACATTCAACCACTAGATTGGCCGCCATATAGCCCTGATTTATCCCCAATCGAGCATCTTTGGGACCAGTTGGATAGACAGGTTCGAAAGCGCCAGCCACCCCCTGCTACTCGAGAGCAGTTGACCAGAGCTCTGATCGAAGAGTGGGACAACATCCCCATACGACGGATTAACGCTCTCATGAACTCTATAACCAGAAGAATAAGGGCCGTGACCACAGCAAACGGCGGACACACAAGATATTGATGACTCAGTTCAATTTCAATTTAAAATCCTATGGGTCCATTCAATTTAATCGTTAGTACCTCTAAACCAATTGCCAGATGCAAAATACAGACTTTTAAGCTTTAATTTATCTGTAAGTATACAAAATTTCGTTTTAAATGAAGCCCGATATCATACTTAATTTCTGGTTTAAAGTTCACCCTGCGTTTCTTTATCCTTTTAGTGTATTTGACAGAGGGTATGTAATCAGAAATAAGAACATAACAAGGACATTTTCTAGGATTAAATTAAGTAGTGACACACGACTTTTCTACTGTTTAGGAACAACTGAGTTTTATAAAATCTAAATAAATATTTTTGGTTTAACCCTCCCCATTGATCTGGTGACCTTGATATACAGTCGATTGACTTATTATTGTGTTTCCGCTTAGTATGCTTTATTCTATAATAGATATTTAACTATTAGATATTCAACATTTTAAGCATTTAGCAGTGATATGTGTTTGCTGTATATTCCCATTTCTATTGATGGGAATGATGACAACTGAAAGTTAGTACTAATTTTGCGGAAACCATGTAAGAAAACTTATGTGGTTATCAAAACAAATATTTTTGCGCTTGGGTGTACTTAGGATTATGGGTGTAGCACCGTACATACACGCGCTAAAAACGAAAATAAACATCGGAGCGCGGAAAGAAAGACAGATGGACAGACTACCTGGTAAATATAAGTAAAAATCATCCTCAATGTGACTCTCATACATACGAAGGGTGTAACTTAGAGGAGAATACGTTTTTGATTGACAACGAATGTGACGATACTTAGCAGCGTATATTTGCATACTCTTCAGGTAAAAATGTATTTCTACCTTTGCAGTGGCAATAAATTTAATATATTGCCCCATTACTTCGTGAAATCTTATCTCACCAGGTGATTCATTCAAGGATTCTTTGCCAACGATCTGCATTATTGAGCTATCACACAGACCTTTGATCCATCGAACCTGATAATATCACGATATGTCTACAGTCGTTGCTAAACACGACTATTATTCAAGTATCAGAAACACAATTGTCAATAAAAATGAAAACCTATTGTATCGAGAGTCCCGTATGGCATGTTTGCATAAAGTCGTTTATCATTATTTTAACTACATCACTATAGTAATGAGAGTACAGACTATGCAGTTAGTATCATTGATAAAAGTAGTCGCAGGTCTTTCTAAAAATGTAATCAAATTATATCCTGACTACCGTTTCAAGCATTTGGTTACAGAGAGACAGAGGATTCCATGAATGTTTTTGCTTCATCAAAGCCGTATATTTAGGGAAAGAACTAGTTGAAAAACCTGTAAGATAAAACATATTTGATACAGGGTATGGTACTGTACTTCCTTGGATTAGGCTGATCACTGTTGATTAAATGCTTCTGGTATATAATTAAAAACTCTATTTATTTTACAACTATTGCGAAGCAAGTTTTTGAAACTTACATTAATCACTCTTGTAGGCTCGGATGGTAATTGGTAACCAAATATTCACTAGATGGTGTAGAAGATGT